GGCGAAGCTGGTGGCGATGTCGAGGAGTGCGGACGCCATGGTCGGTACGCTTCGGCCTAACTCTCGGACCAGGTCTCGACAGGTGGTGCCGGAGAGGAATGCCTAGACGATTTCTGAGTCGCCGACGCTAGGCAACTCGGTGCATTGCTTGGAGAAACATCGGATGAAGTCTCGAAGAGACTCGTCTGGCCCCTGGCGGCAACTCTTGAGGTCCTAGGAGTTCCCGGGGCGCGCGTAGGTGCCCTGGAAATTCCCGACAAAGACCTTTACCAAGTCGCGCCAGTCGTGGATTTGCATAGGGGGAAGGTGTTCGAGCCAGGCTCGTGCTGAGTCTGACAGAAATAGGGGGAGGTTGCGGATGATGAGCAGGTCGTCGTCCGCACCGCCTAGCTGACAAACCAGATGGTAGTCGGCCAACCATAGCTCGGGGTTGGTCTCGCCGCTGTACTTTGAGAGATTCGCTGGCTGACGAAACCGGGCCGGGAAGCGGGCGCTGCAGACGGCCTTACTGAAAACTCTAGGGCCAGGTGGCCCGGGAGAAGGACTGCGGTCCTCCCCACTGTCATAGCGACCGCCTCGGTGCAATTGGTAGCCCCAGGCGGCCCCATCATGGTCGTGGTGCCGTCGTCTGCTACCCACGTGGTGGCCGTTTTGCGCCTCGCGCTGGTCGTCGAGGCGGTCGTGCACCGAGGGGGCCCTGAGGCGGTCGTGCACCGAGGGGGCCCTGAGGCGGTCGTGCACCGAGGGCTGTTTCGAGGCGTCCCCGCGTCGTCGAGACGCGGAGCTTTCGGCCTGCTGCACCGCGGCAGTCTCGAGAAGGCCCCGGAGTTCGCCGTGGACCCGTCGCCCCTCCGTGGTAGAGGGCTCGGGCATCGCTCGGACCAGTATCACTGCCGCAGCGACGTTCTGGCTAGCGCGATTGAAGAGAGGGGGTTGCTCGCCCCCCTCATCATCGTTAATGCGGCGGTTGACGTCGCGAGCCCCCAGCCGGGCCGTTCCGCCATCGCCGCGCCCCCGCTGCTCTTGCTCGAGGGTGGCTCGGAGCTGCTGCAGGAGGAGTCGATCTTGCTCAACCTTGGTTTGAAGCTCACGTAGCTGCTCTAGGTCTATGCGCGCCGTTGTTGCTCGGGGTGGGGACACCTCATTACCTGGCGGGACCCCCGTGCGTGGTGGTGTGGCGTTGGCTGCCCTTCCTCCATCGTTGCCCGTGCTCGGCATTCCGAGTTCGATGTGGAAACACTCACGAGTCGGGCCGTAAGCGTCCTCGCTGTCGGAATCGGAATAGCCGAAGCAGTAGTCGCTCGTGATCATGAAGCGGCGCATCGCCTCAGGGTCACGAATCCCGGAGAAGTCTGCTCCAACCCACGCCTCGTCCTCCTCCGAGGAGTCAGAGTGGGGGTGGATTGGAGTTGTGACTATGGGGTTATGGGCATGACGTTGATGAATGGAGACGAGGGCGGTGGCGTAGGAGGCGGCGACATTGGTCAGCCCGAAAGGGTATGGGGATGGCGCCGTCTCCAGGCTCGGCTCCGCCAGAGCTGGCTCCTCGGGAGGAGGTGGGACAGAGCTTGATGATGGGGCATCGCTGTGCGCCACCGGCCCTTTTCCCCTGTCGAGGCTTAAGCCGGACAGGTCCCCGTGCAGGGACCCTGTGCCAGCAGCGGGGTATGGGATTCCGGTGGAGCACAGATCGGCGTTCTGTACTTGCGCGGTGTTAGGGTGGACTCGCCCGCGCGGCGTTTGGCGATCTTGATGGGAGCGGCGGCCCGAGCGCCATCTGCGCATGGGCTGCCGGTGCATGACGTCGTCGTCGGTTGATGGCGCTCTGGGTGAGAGGAGTACCATGTCGTACTCGTGCCCTAGAGACATGAATTCTAGGGTCCCGAACCAGACGATCGTCCCGAGACGCAATGATCACACGGGATCTGCCATCCGGAATCTGGTGGGATGACTAAGCTGACACGCAGAGGCCCCTACCTGGCGCACCAACTGTCGGTGTTTCGGAACCGGGGGTCCTTAACCGATTAGTGAATTTGTGCTGCGTGCTCCCAATTCCGGATGGTGATGCAAAGAGACACAAGGTTTATACTGGTTCGGGCATTGGATGCCCTACGTCCAGTCTGAGAAGATGTTCTTGTATTCCTTGCACCGGGGTGCTCGTAGTAGGGGTTACAAGCTAGGCGAGAGAGGGAGTTCGTCCCAAGTCTCTGTGAGGGGAGGTGATATGAATTACAGAATGCGGCGTGTTGTTCGTGCGAGTGTTCGTGACTCTATCCGCCGTCCCTAGAAACGGTCCTGGCCGCCTCCTTTTATACCCACAGGGAGGAAACAAGAAGTACATAAGAGAGCTACACATGGAGCAAGGACTATTCGATGACGTATTTACTCCTAGAGCAGCATGGCGTCGTCGTGGGAGTTCCCGTAGATGTCTAATCGGTATGGTCTCCACTGCAAGTAACATGCTGCGCATTTGTTGACTTGGTGGATTGCAGAGGCTCGGCGGCCATCGTAGCCGGTCGTGCCGAGGCCTATCGTGTCGAGGCCTGTTGTGCCGAGGCCTGCCGTGCCGAGGCCTGAGAAGTGACCCAGGTGCAGATGCGGGTCCCAGCGGTCATCAGGCGGAATAGTGCGAGATGTGCGCCTACAGGATACGGTACCTGTATTGTCAGTAAGGGATGGTAAAAAAGGTGATCTGACCGTTGTCCCGTCGCTCCTGTTGCAGCGCACTGCCGATCGTGGCTTACGTAGCGGGTGCAGCTGAGCGCATTAATTGGATGCGATAACCTGCCAGAGAGACCTTTGAGGCGGAGGCGACGAGGTTGCGGGACGAGCCCGGCCTCGGGCGAGGCGGAGCGCGACCAATTCGTCCGAGGCCCTACCGGGGGGTCTCGGGCGAGGCGGACGGGCGAGGCGGAGTAAGATCAGTGAATCCGAGGCCCTGTTGAGGGGGCTCGGGCGAGCCGGAGCGGTCGGTCCGCTGATTCCGAGGCCACAGGAACCCGTTCTGACTCCCCACGTTGCGATGTCCTTGGCGCAGGAGTTAGGCAGCACAGTGGTCGGTAACGCCTGCTCTGTGCCGTCGCAGATGGCAGGAGGTTGACGCGACTGGCGTGTAGTCGGTCACTTATTGCATCTTGTGCCATCGTGCGTCTGTCGGAGTGGTTGGGCGCTTGGATGCGATGTTCGGTCAGAGCAGTTTGGTCGAAGAGGCGGTCACGGGGCTGGTGCCGAGCCGGCCTCGCGCGAATCGGAGAATCGGCACTTCTTCCGAGGCCCCGGGCGAGGGGGCCTCGACGAGGGGGCCTCGGCGAGGCGGTCTCGGGCGAGTCGGAGAATCGTTCGCTTCCGCTGGGGCTCGGCGACGGGGTCTCGGGCGAATCGGAGATTTCGGCCGAGACCTCGTTTGTTAATTCCGTTGGTTCTGTTCTTAGGGTCTAAGCAGTTTTTTGATCTTTGCTTGGGGTACCCCATTTTCTGGTATCCGACAGGAGGGTTCAAACAAATCCTTGGAATCAACCAAAAGGACTCCATTGAGTGGAAGCAATAATACAAAAGCACTTGATACCAATTTATGGATAAACTTAAAAGCACTTGGTACCAATTCAAACACAAACTCCAAAGCATGAATGCCATCCTAGAAAGTTTCTCAAGTAGAACACAAAGCACTTGCAAGTTCTAGGGATGGCAAAGCGCTATGAGGAGTAAGCAATATAGCTCAAAGGCGCGCAAAATCTCAAAGTTTGGATGACAAAAATCTCAAATGAAAGAGCCTCTCCACTCTTCCTCTATCTAGATCTATATAAGCAAAGACTCTCCACATAACAAATGAGAGCCAAATCCTTCTAATCCCTCCAAGTTGTGCTGGCACAACCAACCATCTCTCATATATACACATTTGGATATTTCTTAAATTTCGAGTACTCATCCCAAATACCTAGAGGGGTAAAACGGTCCAACTCTTCCTTCATCATCCGATCTCAACTTTGCTTCACCTCGAGGCAAGCTTTGAGATGCCACCATGTGTCCATCGATCCATCACTTCTAAGTTTTGAGGCCTAAACTGATCAAACCCACTACTGATAGTTTTGAGGCCCGAACCACAAAACCATCCATCACTGGTTTTGAGGATCAAATCGGCAAACCCTCGTGCACGCCTCGCAAGGTGTGACTAACGATCTTGATGTGTGTTTGGCCTTCATGTCCTCAACCTGCGGTCCACGAAGTGCTAGCGATACCTCGCCGTGACTTGGTCCAACCTCGTCCTTGATTTTGTCGATGACATCATCATCATCACTCATGTACTCTCTCTCTTCTTGTGCTCGATGTCAGCCGCCCATGGTCTGTCCTTGGCCTCTTGGTTCTTTAGTCCGAGCCTACTTGTCTATCCTTCACTGCTTCCGGTCCATCACACATAGGCTGCCCATTCATAAGCCAAGAGACATGTTGCACCTTCTATATATATTTCAGCTGCCTGAAATTTTTCACTGATCCGGGACTTATTCAATATTTTAGATATTCTCTCTCGGAACTCAATGTTGTTCTTGCGTGTTGCAGATTTGCTCCTTGTTGTAGTTGAATGGAACATGCATGATGTTGCAGCTCTCATTTGTAGGCATTGTTCCTCGATGTTTCAAATGGCACGATTTCTACGTTGCAACTTGCAACCCGTCCCCTAAAAAGTGTTAAATTCTCAAACACCAAAAATACAGCAACTCCCACATTTGCAAGTTGAAAAACTCAGCGATCCAGCCTGAGGTTAAGCCTCCTGAGCCATACGGAATGCAGGATCATGTTAAACATGTCCAGCCTTTGTGGCGGTTGGTTCAGCAAGAAGTGCCGCTTCACCAGGCGCACCCCTTGCTGGAGCCTCTCCACCTCCAGCGCCGGTATCCGCTCCAGCATCTCCCTCAGCCTGGGGATGTCGGCGACCGGCACCGCCACCGAGAACGCCTCCCACCGCAGCACGTCGGCGAAGGGCAGCGCGTACCCGTCGGACAGGATCACTCGGCGTGGATGGCCTCGACGACGCGCGGGCTCGCCACCTCGAACCCGCTCGGGCACAGGCAGAAGCGCGCGCGCCGCATGAACGAGTAGTAGTCGAGCGCATCGTCATGCCTGTGCTCGTACACCGGGAACACGTCCGGGTCACGGTCCTTCCAGTGCCGGAGCAGGAGGTCACGGATGTGCCCGTGCCGGCCGCCGGGGAAGAAGGCGAGGAACGGACGCGACGTCACCCCTGGCGCCGCCGGCGCCAGGAGCTCCCGCGGCATCTCTCCGTCGTAGAGGTTAATGTCCGGCACGCTCACGTCCTGCCCCGGCCGGAAGCCCTCCGAGGTGTTGGCGTTGCAGATCGCGCGGATGCCGTTCGCGTACAGCTCCGGGTGCCCCCTCGACGCCGCAGGACCCTGTGCATATATGCAGCCACCGCAAGTAAGATCCAGTAAAATGCTCGTCAAACTTTGCGTCGATCGAGCAATATGCCAAGATTTCGTAGCTAGCGGGCTGGCGGCGACACTGACCCAATCGTGGCAGGCGAGCATGAAGTGGTCGGCGCCGGCGGAGCGGTTCCAGTAGGGGTGTCGGGACGCGACGACGCGGACGTAGTCGGCGACGATGGCGCGGAGAGGGGTTTTGTCGTAGGTGTTGGGGCGGTACGCGAACTGCGCACCATCTGGGAGACGCTGAACGGCAGGAAGAAGGCGTGGGCGCGCGCGGGTTCCGACGTCCGGACGCCAATGACCGCCCGACGCCAGCGGCTGCCCTGCCGCGACGACGAAGCTGCCGACGACGGCGCCATGAGCTCGAGCTGCTAGATGAAGCGCCCCTCGATGGTGTAGATGTTCTTGCACGGACCGTCGTGCAGGATCGGCGGCTCGCCTTCCTCGTACACGTACACTCTGAACCGCTTCTCCATCTCCGTATAGCTCCTGCGCGTGCACCGTACGTGTAACACCAAAGGCAGCTCGACAACCAACTTTCGCATTGTGTGATTTGCGCCAGAATAATGGACGACTCACTCACCGGTGGAACGCGGCCGGATTGCGGTAGACGCTGGCCAAGAGAGCATGCTCCACTCCGGTGTCGAACTAGCTGTTCGCCGAGCTGACATTGCCGTTGCCTGCTCGGCCGGCAACACCGTTCCACTGCGCCGTGCGCCGGATCGCAGCTCGCGCCACGTCGAGCTCCTGCTCCACGCTCAGCGGTCTCCGCGTCTCCCCCGGCCTTCTTGCCCTCTCCTGGTCCTGGCACACAAAGGTCCGCTTAGATAAGCTCTTAACAGTTTTTTTTTCTGTGTATGCTAAGGTAAACTCACGAGATCAGCAGGTGATGAATACCGTGGTGAGATCAGCGGACAGGGGCAGCTGCCGCTGTTCCGGCGCTGCGCGAGAGGACAGCGCCGACGAGGACGCCACCGCCTTCGGACTGGAGGCGGCGGCGAGGACGGTGTAGAGTGCAACGCTAACGATCAGAAGGGTCGCGCTGGGGGAAGCGTCGCGGCGGCTGCACTCCGGCGCCATGCGCGCGCGCCTGCCGTGCCGAGCTGCCGCCAGCCGGTTGGACGCGCGCAGTCTCGCTTGGAGTGGAGGTCAACAGGTTCTACTCCTAGTTAGAAGCATCACAAGCATGTGCAGATCGACCATTAGCACGAACCTGGGAGCTCAACTCTATAATCTATTTTAATGACGCCATTAGTCTAAGCTACCTACCTGTTCGTTTGGCTTTGGCTTTCAATCATAAATTTTCAGCCAGAACAATATTTTTCTCTCACACAAACCAGCCAGTAATACTTTTTCACGAACCAGCAACGAAACGAACCAACCAACTGAACAATAATAGAAAATTTCCTTCAATACCTGCCTTAAATACTTGCATCCACAGAGGAAGACACGCAGATCTCAAGAGACAAGGGCTGACCTCGACGGCATCGGAGTGGTGGCGATGCCAGCGCGACGGACGGAGAATCGCTCAGAAACTGAGCGCTCCTCTGGTCGAGGAGGAGGAGCTGGATTGCCGGCAGCTGGCGAAGGACACCATACAAATCCAGCACTACATGTAGGAGTAGTATATCTGAAATTTTGCCGCTGACAAGTCCATTTGATTTTTTTAAAAACTGTAAGTCCATTTGATTTTTGCCTCTACTAGTAGTACATTCTTCGTGAGAAACTAGCTAGTAGCTTAGTTAGTTAATAATAATATCATGCTGGCATATGTCATCATGGTAGTAAAAAGATAATTGACTGTCTTATAAATTATATAATTCGTATTATATAGAAGTTAATAAATAAGTGATGAGTTGTGATGAATAATATCCTAAATACCATCCGCTTGGCTAGAACGAAAAGGAAAGCTTTATTGATTTTAGATAATTACATCTATATAATCATACTAAGACTGTGTGGACATGTGGTTCTCATCTAGTGGTTGACTACTACTCCATTGGCATCTAAATAAATCAATTTCTAGAATTATTTTGAGTTGAACTTTCTTATTTTTTATCAAATTTATAGAAAAAGAGTTCGAAATTTATGATTCTAAGTGAGCGCATTATGAATACTTTATGATGTATCTAATCATTCGAATTTGGTGTCATGATTGTTCACACTCTTTTCTATAGATTCGGTGAAATTTACAAGAGACTAACTTAAAACAACTCCTAAGAAGGGGCAGAGGAAGTAGTAGTTACATGACTTGTGCAATGCAAGACATTAGATTATCTGTCATTGGAACACCTTAGCCAATTCCCATAAAATTCTAGTGTCTTACATCAGTCCCATAAAATTCTAGTTTGTCTCTCTTTGGATTAGGATGCAAGATGTGCACTTGGCTCAAGGCGTCACGGATTCCATCATCTGGAAATGGACTCCGGAGGGTAATTACTCCACTCGCTCAGCTTACTGGATCCAATTTAGAGGATCCTTCGCAAAATTCCCAAGGGACCACGTTTGGAAAGCGCAGGCAGAAAACAAGCGCAAGGTGTTCACCTAGATCCTAATTCATGGAAAATTCCTAACGGCGGACATTTTGCAAAAAAGAGGATGGCCGCACCAGGAACATTGTGTTCTATGTAATGGGCCCTTGGAGACCGGCCTTCACTTGTGTATATGCTGCCCTTTTGCAAAGGAGGTTTGGAACCAAGTTCTTACTTGAGAGCACTTTGACGGTTTATTGGGGCAGCAACAGGAAGACCCCCTACAGATCATGCCTTGGTGGGAGAGGGCTGCTAGCAAAGCGCCCCCAGCCGATCAAAAGAGGTTCAGTGGCATAGTAATATACACGTTATGGAACCTATGGAAAGAGAGGAACATGCACATTTTCAACAACTCAGAAGCAGTGTGGCAGGTAGCTGTGAGGATCAAAGATGACATCGAACTGAGGAAGGGAGTGCTCCGCTAGAAGGGGTTTCTTTTTCTGAGTGGGCTTCCACCCTTCTGTTATGCCCACGGGGGCGTAGTTTATTCCTTACCTGCTTGTACATAAACTTATTTCACTCATATCTTAATTGAAAGGCAGAGCTCCTGCAAAAGTTTTAAAAAAATACTTGTCAAGTTAGACACTACGCAACAAAACCATATTTTCAATGGATGGTTTATTTAGGATAAATTTTGTACAATCACATATTATTTCTTTCCTATCATCTATCTATCACGACTCTTCATATCTAAAGCTCTCCTTACGCCTCCCTCTTCCTCTTCTTTGCAATGCTTTAAGAGCCTTGGATTCGTCAACTACACCAACACCAAACTTCGATGCCAATGCAATGTTACCCTAAAGCTCTCCTTACGCCTCCCTCTTCCTCTTCTTTGCAATGCTTTCTGACTTATCCAGCTCCTCTTGCAACTTCCTAACTCTTCCCGACTTTTCATGCGCCTGCTTCACCAAAATATCCAACTCTTTAACCCAGATCTTATACAGCGCGCGTGCGCTGTACGAGTTAGCAACGCGCGGTTACTTTTTCGGGCAGGTATGTTTCCTTGCGTCTGTTTCCTTTCCCTTACTGTCATGTTTTTGTCACGTTCTGTTTGGATTCCGACTTATTGCGCCGCGACGGCCATTAAAAAAAATCAAAACAGTGTGTTCATTCCCTTTCCCCCTTCTCCATATTCAACGCGTTCGTTTCATCTTTCTTCAAGGCAGAGGTGGAAGCTCCGTCGTCGTGGCCCGACATCGATTTGGGTGGCACCAGCTGACCTCCTCTGCCGTCGATGCTGGTGCGGGCTGGTCGACGTGGAGGTGAAGGTCCGTCGTCGTCGGTGAGGCCTTGATTTGGGGCGGTGTGGGGGGTACGACCCCCGGATACCCACGTCAGACTACATGGGCTACACCGTGTAACACCCTCGGTGTTATATTGCACTGTTTTGCTCAACATCGCATGAGCATCATGGTTATGTGCATATGTGTATAACATGAATTATAAAGCAATGTTCGGTCCTTGAAACATTTATATGAAACGAGAAAGCGAATGTTATGTTTCGTGTCACATAACGTTGTTTATTATCCTAATCGAATTCTTGTTAAAACAAAAAGGCTATAGAACGTTTTGTGAACGGCGATAAAACATGTGCGGTCGAGGACAAGGATAACTAGCTAGTACATCCCGTAGGTCAGATTTGGAATTCGACGCGAAATCGTTCGAAACGACGTCGTTCGCGTAAGTTTTAGAAGAGGTCGACGAAGCCACTTTTGGCAAGCTCTGTGGAGCGATTGGCTTAAGAAGTAGCGTGATGTCATGACTGTAGTTGATAGCTTGATGTACCCTCTTGCGCATCGAACAATTAGTTTAGCGTTTGGAGCATTGCGTATAAGTTTTCTAACTGCTTTAGAAAGCGTGCACGACACATGGCTTAGCCCTGGGCGCGGTCACCACCGCTTTGGCTTGCCGGTAGATCGCCGCTAAGCATGAGCCGCACTGGCCGCCACGCCGATCGCGCCCCACCGCGCGCGCTGTGCACGCCGCCCTATGCGCCAAGGCCATCTGCCTCTGCTGCTGGCAGCCACGGCCCCTTCTTTGCTTTCGGTGCCGCTGGCTGGTTTGGCTCGCCAAATAAGGCCGAGGTATGACTACATCTCCATGCCGCCGAATGTGACGCGACGCAGCAGTTCTGCCACTACTACTACCTTGGCTGCTTGCTGCCCTCGCTGGCGTGCGGGTCACCTCGCCGGCTGTTTCGCTGCGCCCAGGACGCCGACCGAGCTCGGCCGCGCCTTGTCCTACCCCGCTTTGGCCGGAAGCGCGCCGGGTCCCACGCTACGCGCCACCAGTGGCCACGCACGACACTGCTTCGTTGACTCGCCTTGGCTGCTCGCGCGATGGACGACAGCCTGCTCCCCATCACCTCCGCGTCGCTCGCGCTGTGCCGTTCTTGTTTGGCGCTGCCCGCTGCGACGCCGTGCTGTGTCTCATCGGCTTGCTGCCTCGGCCGTGTGGCCAGTCGCCTGGGGCGCGTCCCACTGTCCCCCATCATGGCATGTGTTTGTCAGTTGCGTTGACGTCCACAGCCGGACCGAGCCAAGCCGCGCCAGGACCTCCCCTTCCCCCCTGTCTCCATGGCCGTTGAGACGACTCTTTCAAATTCGTCGTGGTAGCAGTGCCCTGTTGCAATTGGCTTCGTCCTCGACTCCGCTAGGCAGCCTGCTGTCCTACCGACCCCACATCGCTGCCTGTAGCTCCGTCATAGGCCCCATTTTTGAAAAGCCACGCCTTCGAGTCCTTAAGACCGGGAGGGCCTACGCCATCGGCTATCCTCATAACCAAGGCATCTCGGTCCATTCCCTCGCGCTACTAGTCTCTCCTCCAGTCGGGTGTCACCATGCTCACCTTAGTTTAAGCCCTGCCGCTGTGTAGCAGTCCCTGGCGCAGCCGTGCCACCATCGTGCACCGCCGCACCACCTCGTGCGCACACGGCCAGCTCACCTCGGGCTTTCTCCGGCCAGACCGTCAACACGAAGGTATCCGTGGGTAGTCCCTGGAGCTCTCTAGCATAGTTGCTTGCTTCGTCTTCGCTGTCACTCACGAGAACGCGCCCGCCATTAAAGGAAAGGGGCCACCGCCGGGGAGGGGGCTCGGCACGGCGCCTCTGTTCGCCGTGAAGCCTCCGGTCACTGCGTTTTGCCCCCAAGGTAATCATCGGCCCCTTAGTTAGGTAGTAGGGGTTCGGGTGACGCCGGCGTGACCGCCCGGTGCCCGCGCCGTCGCGCCAGTGCGCGCACGGGTGCCGGGGGGACTTTGCCGTGGTGAAGGAGGAGAAAGGGGAGGGTGCAGTTGTAAAACCTTAGACTGGTGGAATAGTGTCCTAGGGCTCGCTGTGATTACATAGTACTTCGGGGGTGCCCGTGTATATTTGCCTTCACGCACGGGCCTTCCCTCATCACGGGCCGTTGGCCGGCTAGGCCACGCGCGCGCGTGGGCTGCGCTGCTCTGGCGTGCGCGTCGCGCAGTCGCGGGCCGAGCCAGCGAGTTGGGCCGAGGAGAGGGATTCAGTTTTCTTAATTTTTAGAAGATTAGAAATGTTTATTTATT